TGAATAGTGGCATACTTGGCACTGATATCAGTGATTATCCATTGATTCAGATTTACAGAGTATATAATTAATACACAAACTAAATCTTTTTATGAATATATAAAGAAAAAGAAGGAAATAAAAATTTTCTGCATTTAGAATTTTCTATTCAAAAATTAATTTGTTTGACCAAATATTATCGACTAAAGAAATAAATAAACATGACTTTCTCTCGTACTAGATATTCATAAGTGCAAATTTTTATTGATTTGCATCGTGGATTTATTATGATTCGTGTCACGCCGGAAGGTTCGTGCATCATTTTACGCGTCGCGAATATGTTGCGAACTCGATAAACTATGCGCTACCAGGTAAATTGTTTTATCTTCGTCGCTGTGATTCATCGAGGAACGCTCGATGAGTCGTGTATACGCGTGTGACACACGCGCCAATGCGTACGTATGTATGGGCTATTATGTAAACTGTTGTTTTACATGTAGTTCCTTCTCGTATGCTTCCGACGCAACAGTTCCTCATCGAAAATTAATTTGTTGAAATGTGTTTTGCCAAAATATCGATTCAATCGATAGTTCACGAATTAGACTCGAGTTAATCGAACTCAGTTTCTATCAGAGATTATCACTATCAATACTAAATCATTTACGTTCTAATAAAATTGAATAAATTTCGTGATAACAAATAACTGTTTATATTTATATAAATCAAATTTAAAAAATAGATTTTACGGAAAATGTTCAAATAGAAATTCTGCACGGAAACAATGGTTTTCTTGAAGTATGTACAAATTTAGCTAGATATAGACCTGAAAATAATTGTATATGTATACAATAAGACACTCAAATTGATTGCTAAATTGTTACAACTTTTTCTACATAAGTATTCTATATAAGTGTTCTGCATAATTATTTTGATAATTCAGAATGCTTAACTGCTAATGACTATGCTTTAAAAAGTTTTAACATTTTAGCAATTAGTTTTAGCGTCCTATATAGTTATTTTGATGGTCCAAACAAAATTATTTTCACATCTGTGTTTAGCTAAATTTTTAGATATCATCTCAAAACCGTTCTTTCTGTGTAACTGCTATGAAAAAATTATGCATGTAAACTGAGCTACAATTAGCCTTATTACACAAAGATCTTTTATTCAAAAGAAACTGATAAACCGAAAAAAAAATTGTATTAAATATTTATTTTTATCTATATTGAAAATAATTATTATATAATTATATTGAATGTTTATTCAATATTTAATTTTTTTTTTCATTTAAATTGTTTCAAGTTTTTTAAATTTTCTCCGAATATGCAAAATTTGATGGTTTATAAAGATTTTTTACGATCCATATGACTTGTATTTAATAATTACCATTTTTACACTATTTTTTAAACAACATTGTTTTTGGTCCATCTCACTCGATCTTGCTAAATTTACTCGAGGTTACGGTTGGGATTTAAACGTGATTTATATGATTGTCGTGGCCATTTAAACTGCACCCCTTTCGCATATTTATGACTCTTGCATTGTCCAAAATTTACGATAAAATAATGCACTGTGGTATTTCCTATTTATGACTCGTGACATTTGCTTAATATTCGATTCTGATCACGATAATGTTGTCAGTAGTTTTCCTCTATCTTTATCGAGTACACCAAACTGGAAGACCCGTTATACGCTGATTTTTTTCGTAGTCGATACGGTGATTTTGTTTTATGTTCGTGAATAATTAATATGTAATTTAAATCGTGAATTAATTTTGACTGTGTATTATATCTTATCCAAATCGAGATCGATGACCTTATTTATTCACTTCTGTTGCATCATAAAACTTTGGCAAACTTCAAATTATTTCTAATGCTTTGTAGAAACAGGAAACGTATAAGGTGGAAAGAAACGAATTTTGTGTTCTTTTGCAGGAAAAGCATCAGGTATTTTGCTTCTCGATTAATGGCGCGACTTAAGTTTCTTGAGAATACAAATTATAAATATTTTGTTATTTATAAAAGTAATATTTTTAATTATCAATTTACTTCTTTAGGAAATTATAAACTATATCTATTTTCATCTGTCCAAAAGTATAATTCCGCTCGCAGGTTAAAATTAGAATGTAAAATGCATTCTTTATTATTATTAGTGCTCTTCTTGATATATCGTTTTGTAGTACCGTGCTCTCTTCCTGGATTCTCACAGTTGTTAGACGTTGGCTGCTTTACAACTAGCTATTTTCAACCGTTATATACCGTTAGATTAATATGCATTTATTCAGTTTTTGTTTGCAAACAAAATAGATTCTTTACGTTTATATGTAGGTACTTCTGTGTATAGCCAATATGTTTAAAACAAAATCTTAATTTAAGATTAAATATTAATCTTGTTAATTTTTTTAGCTCCAAATAAGCTTGTAATGAATTATTTTACATATTTACTAAGAAAAAAAATCAATTCTATATATAAGTTTATAAGACTATTTTATACGGGATACTTTATATTTTATTAATATATTATAAATATATGTTATACAATTTTTTTGCTTATTTTTAAAAAATAAAATTTTATGACAAAAAGAAATGAGATACACTGCTTTGAATACTAATCTTATTCGTTTACGAGATTGTAAAGAAGATTGATCGTGACAGTAGATATGCTGCCGGGAGTCCCGGTATAATTCGTTTCTGGTATAATTATTGCAATGCTGATGATTACAGTGTAATCGCAGTTCTCTGAGGAAAAATACGCACGTATATGTTTTTACATTGGTTTTTATGGCGTTCTAGGCGCCGTTCCTTCGCCTTGTCTCTTTAACGGCGCTAATTGCGAATGACGTCCGGCTCCGCGTGTCACGTAGAGGCTGGCAAATTTTGTGTATTAATTCCGGAAAGCGTCTTTACGCAAGCATTTGAAGGACGACGACGACGCGCGACGGTAAAGATGATTCGCACAAGA